CCCCAAAACCCCAAAACCCCAAAACCCCAAAACCCCTCAAACCATAAAAAATAAATTAAAACACTCTAATGGTGACTCCAGTCTTCAGAATTGACCAAGATGACAACATGCTTTACATCATAATGATCGTAAAGTACGCTAAAATCTCAAATGCTGAATTTGAAATCCTTGACAATAACTTCAGGTTCTATCTGAAGCCTTACAGCCTGAACCTTACCTTCTCAGGGAAGCTCAAGGAGACTGGGGAGGAAAACAAGAGTGAATACGATATTGAAAAGCATCAGCTAAAGTGTCAGATTGAGAAGATGACCAAGGGCGAGCACTTTGAAAACCTTGATATGGTCACCTCCTTACTTTCAAAAATGCCTGCGCCAAGAGAAGACCTTAATGAAGAAGAGAAACAGGAGATTCTGAAAACTGCTACTGATCATAACAGGCCTCTTGTAGAAGTCATTAGTTCTACTAACAATGATGAGGAAATGGAGATGGAAGAAGTCAAGGGTCCTGTCCCGACCATGGAGGATATGGACTTCAAGCTTATCAAGAAGTATACTTACGGCTTCAACAATCTGTACCAGGAGGTATTCACTCACAGGCAAGAAGAGTTGCATGAATTCGCAGAGATTGATCCAGAGAAAATTCCTATTGAAGAGAGACTTGACAAAATGCATGCTATGGATAAAGAGAAATTCGATGATGAGAGATATGTAGCAGACACTTATGAGGTAAATAAGGAAGAAGTAAAGGAGATCATTGACCAAGAACATCCCTATGAGGTATATCTCGCTGTTGATGAGCTCGAAGATGTCACTAAGAGACTTGAAAACATGACACTCAATTCTGAAGATCAGATTTTGACGAATAAGGAAATAGAGGAATGCCTGAAGTTGAGAAATAGGGAGTATTTGATAGACAAAAGCTCCCCAAATTTACCAATGCAGTGAATTGAGATACTTTATGCATATTTGTATGACTTCAGAGCTAATAGGTTCGGTGATAGCTGCGAGTCTCCTTGGACTATTTCTAAGTTATCAGGAGCCCTTTCTTATTTTGTTGACTACAATGGATATAAAATAGCAGACATTATGAAAATTTGCTTCAGGAAAGCACTAATATACCCACTCTATCGAAACTTCGACCTCTGCAGAGTTGTCCAGCAAGATCTCGTTAATGTTCTCAGAATAGGCAAGAAGTTAATAGTAAAGATCTTTTTGCAAATCAAAAGCATGAATGAGCGCAGAGAATGTGGATTTTTACTGAACAAGATCTTCATCAATGACTTCATCGTCTGGATTCAGCAGGTAAATGATGTTCATATTGCTCACATCTTGAAAGAAATTGAAAGCTTGGAGGTCTCCAAGACTGACCTGGACCTTGGATTGGAAGAGATCGATAAATTTGTAGCAGAGCATGTGGATTATCAGTAACTAATTTTCAGTAAAATTCAACACCTCTAAAATATGATGGGGTTTTGGGGTTTTGGGGTTTTGGGGTTTTGGGGTTTTGGGG